ATCACATCAACACACATCCACACATTCACACATATCAACTATTGAAATTATCATCATCCTCATCCTCATCATCTGATGATGATTTTATACAATCACCAAGACACATTCAATTTACACGCACTTTCACACATAGAGAAACAAAACAAATGGACAAAGAGCACTAAGAGAGAGAGAGAGAGAGAGAGAGAGAGAGAGAGAGAGAGAGAGAGAGAGAGAGAGAGAGATCAGATTGACAAATTGGAGAAGAAAATAAATAAAATAAATAACTGCTGTGAGCATTTGTCAATATTTTGTTTTAAGGTACATTTGTTTCTGTATGTAACCATCAAAAAAGATAGTAATAAGTTGGCGCAGCCTGCATCGTCACAAAAAACACAAATCTGACTTACACTGTATATGTTTACCTGCATCAGCAGTCATTGTTACTTATTCTAATTGAATAGAGACCTGCTTGTAAACATAAATAGGAGGGGTTGGAGTAAGCAAGAGAATAACACCTACTAACTTAATATAAATAGTCATAAGACTCAGGCTTAGGTGAGGTCAAGCTCTATTAATTTTAGTCATTTTATCCCATTCAGAAGTAAATCTTCTAAGACATTGTTCCCCTTTACCACGAGCAATATATTTCTGAATCTTATAGTAATCTTGAATCGAATTGACTAAAGCCGTCACATTAAGTGACTTATGAAAACATCTGGTTTTGTATATATATTGTTTAATGAACACAGTAATTTCTTTATCAATTCTCCTATAAATTCCAGTTTGGTTGATAAAACCAAAGATCATTGATTCTTTATTTAGTGAGAAACAAATAGTGAGAGCACCTAAAATACTTTCAAAATTGCTCAGAAATGTTTGTACTTCCCTACATTCCCATAAAACGTGGGTAATTGTCTCCCTTTCTATGATACAAAAAACACAGTATGGGTTATTTACAAGTCCAATTTTATATAAGTAAGAATTGGTTGTTAAAATATAATGATTAATTCTAAATTGCAACCATTGCAATTTTGAACTTTTTGTTACACTGAAAGGAATAGCATAACTTTTCCCCCAGGTTTCCTGATTATAGTCAAATATTGTCCTCCATTTTGTATGAGCAGTTATTGTTGCATTATTTCTGATAAGTATATTATAGAAGTCTTGAGATCCCTTTTTCTTCTTTAAAATTATTACAAGATGTAACGGTATAATTGGGTATATCAAATTAAGTTGTTTCAGATAATTCTTTATACTCGTTATCAATCCATGATATTCTAGATAGTTATTGTACCATGTAGATCACAAAATTCTTTAAAAGACAAGAAAGAGTAGTCAGTGTTGTTTTTCAACAAATCATTAATTATCATAATCCCATTTTTAAACCACTTACGATAAAAACAACTGTATTCCCAACAGAAATATTTTTGTTATACCATAAGGGTGTCTTAAGTAGGGTAACATTCTCATTTTTAAACAGCTCCTCTTTTGCTCTTAATTTATACCATGCCCTAAGCACATCTTTCCAAAACACATTTTTGCAATTTCCTTGAATTTTATTTAAGTACTCGTTTTACTGAGTTAGCCAAGATATGAGGATTTACCAAGATTTTAAAATGCTTACCCATTTACCTTCTGATCTAAAAAAACGTCTTATCCAACTTAATAAAAGACATTAAATTAACCATTTTTAGCCCACCTTCGTGATAATTTTGAATTATTATGTCCCGTTTAATCTTATCAGTTTTGCTATTCGATAAAAAATTGAAAAGAACAGAATTGAGCTGTTTTATAAAATTTTCAGATGGATTAGGTAAGGAAATAAACAGATGATTCATCTGAGAAATTAATAAAGATGTAATGATATTAATTCTACCAATAGGTGTGAGCAACCTTCTACTCCAGCTCTTAATATGAGCTTTAAGTTTAACAAATTTTTTATCAAAGTTCATTTTAGGTATTTTGTAAAGATCTACATGGAAATCTATCCCAAGAAAAATAAATGTATTCACTCCTCATCTAAGATTCATATTTGGAAGGAGAACATCATTGCTGTATTTTTCACTGTCTATCAAGACCACTTTATAACATTGGTATATATTTGCTACTTATAATGCTTGGATTGTTTGATAAGTCTACGTTTTAGTTTGTGTTTTGTATGAATGTTCATGAAGTCCAAGCTAGAATGTCTTTTCTGGGATTTTATCATTAGTTAAGTGCAAATACCGATCATGCATGTAAAAGATTTATTGAACAATTCATGTCCTACTGGTACTTGTACAAATGGAGAGAAACTAGATACGAAAAATACCCTTCAGAGATACTCTCGTATTCATACATCAACGGGTCCTAACCCATTGCTGATTTTGAGTTTAAAATTAGGACAATTCACATGGGACCTTGTTTATTTACCGAAGCTATCAATTACTTGGAAAGATAATTAAGTTGTCTGTAAACTGTGCGCAAAGAAAAGTAATCATGTTGTAACCCATTTTATTATTGAATGCTCAACAATATATGAAAGTAGAGATGTCTTTTTAGACAAAATTGTTGACTGTATCAATGTGCGCTCCTATGTTGCTTTTTCATTCTTTGAAGAGACTGATCATGCCAATTTTCTTCTTGGAGATCGTGTTAAAGTGAATTTACAGGATGACGAATGATAACAGTTACCAAAAACATCAAGCTGCTTTTGAAAAATATTAATTCTGCTCTATAAATGTTCTCATAATTTTCTCTAAATGTTGAAAATGGTTAAATGTGTTTAAATGTTTATATTCCCTCATGAAAGAGGAAATACAGAAAGTCTGTCTGGCTCTATGTTTGTCTGTCTGAGGGTTAGCGTCATTTTTGTTGCAAACATGGGCACGTTTCCGTTTGTGTATCGTATGCGTGTGTAATGGAGACAGTATGCTTGTGTTGGTGTCACCAATGTTAACTTACTACTTACTGAATTTACTGAAGGTACCCCGCACAGTATTCCAACAGGACGCATGACATTAAACTCAGAAACAGTGAAATAAACGCAATGATGCCTGGATTTAACAGATTTACCTTTTAATCATGGTATAAATCATTCTATTTAGCCTTGTTATAACATCGGTATTTACTGCCTTTCAGGTTTATATTGTTTTATGCGGTTTAGCGTCTTGTTTTGCAGACAATGTCATCCACGGATACGCTTGCGGATGTGTATTGCATGCGAGTGTGCTGCAGACTGTTTGTTGGTGTACAAGACTCCTTGCGATGCTACCTTACTCCTTACTGAAATACCATGGCAAAGGCATCCAGCACTGTACTCCAACAGGTCATATTATACTGACAACGGAATAACCAGCTGTTGCTTTGATTTTGGTTTTTCCACGCCATGGGTCAAAACTCATAGTATTGTAAACAATGATCCATATTTGAAGATTAACGAACTTACAAGTAAGTTCTGAAAGTTAAAATTTTGTGAAACCACGTTTTACTGTATACCAACATTGAAAGGCTGTGTATCGCTCTTTCCTGTGAAGACTGATCAGTTTAAGAACACTTTGTATTTCAAAATATCAAAATATGTTTATAATGAAGGCAAAACACTTTTTGTATAGAAATTTCAAAACGACGACAAAACTGGATACTGGTTAAATTTCCTATTTCCTGAATATCTTCAAAGTATATTTACAATGAAGGCAAAAACGTTATGTGTACAGATTCAAAAGAAGACAAAACAATGAATTAAAAAAATCTTATATCCTGTATATCTATAAAATATTATTACAATAAAGACAAAAACAAAAGATATAGAGATTCAAAACTGTATATATGAAACATTTCTGATTGTTCTCGACAATTGCATTCCTGATGTAAGAACACAGGTTAAGCTACTGATGTTACGAACAATAAAGACCAGATATAAACAAGTGATTCTTGGTCTTATATATAATTGACGTTTACGTATATAATCGAGTCAACTAAAATGGGTCGCCTTCCACCGAAATAAGCGACGTGGAAAAAAGAATTATTTAGATACTACAATAGATGAAAATAATGACAAACAGTCCCGGCTGTGTTAAGGAAGTGCACGCCTGATTATGAAGTGTTTTCCACATCAGTACGTATATAACATATCGATGCTGGGTAGGAAATCTGTGACAGCAATATACGTCAGATAATCAGCTATACTTTGTTAAACTGCTCGAATAAAACTACCTTATTTACAATGGTATCTTTGGTGCCTGATGTCCGAAAAGTACATAATAACAAATTACCCAGACAATGGATTTACGCTGCGTGAGGACATCCAATCCACATTATAATAATTCGAGGTGGTGATAGGGCCTTTGCAACCAGCCAACATCGTACAGCTCAGTAGACTGGAACAAGCGGAGTAAAGTATCCTGCTCAAAGATATAACATAGTGCCGTGCCGCGACTCGAATCCGCAACCCTTCGGTCACGAGCCCGGCGTCCTACCGCTAGACTAACGTGCCTTCTTTATATAGGATATTAATAATTTGTTATGTTGGTATTTTGATGACAGTTTTAAAGTTTATGATACAGTAAATAATGAAGTTATACAAGACAACATACGTATGAGGCACGCGATAAAGATTGATTATAACATTTTATTAAATATATTAGATATGATTTAAAACGGTTTTATTCCTTTCTAGATAGATTAAGTGCTTTACAGTGTATATGAACAAATAATATAATAATTACAATCAAAATATACTTTAGATAGTACATTATTAAATACAATTTTGAGGAATTTTAACTGCTAGTCCTATTCCACCTGACTAAAACCTCCCTATGTGTGTATGCTTGCGTGTGTGCAGTTCCTTTTGTAATGGGAAGACACAGATCTCCACCGCCCATATTCCTACCCCACAGCAGAGGGCACAGAAGAACACCGTCACCCACACCTCGTCACATAAACATAATATAACAATCTGCCTCTAGTTGGCCATCTGCTTGTTTGAAATAGGAATATTTAATCATTAAACCATTAACAGAACAATTATTAAAGCGTACCTCGTAGTCTGGCTGTGCCACTGACTGGATTGTACCAATACCTTGGTACACCTTCCACCACGTGATGTGTTCCTTTCCAGTAGACACCAATAAATCCGGGTACTTCGGGTTGAAATGTATGTCGCATATGACGTCAACATTTATCTAAAAAAAATATTCACACCTAAACGTCATTGAATAGTCAAAATAGTGGTATTAGTTCGCATTTCAAAAACATTGTAGTCAATCAATTTCCATTTAAGATGGGGCCACTTCTACTGGGGGGGTCATAACATTGTGGCTGTACATTCATCAAAATTCAGCCCTTACCGACACCCATTTATAGCCAATATAAAGCAGAACGTTGTATGGCCACGATCAGGGAAAAAAACCTACAACCATCCATGCATGGGTGCGCAACAATACAGTAGGCATTGTAAAGTAGGGCGTTAGTAAAAGAACAGAAGCAGTTAGAAAGAAAACACAAAATGTTTCTATCTCAAAAGTGGAACAGGTGTAGCGGACTTATTGTAATAGCATTTGTGTCTCGAAGTAAACCGGCTTCCCATACATGTCTTGGGAATGAGTGAAAAGATGATGGTGACATGGCGTACACTAAGATACATATACCGATGATATTGTTTTGTCTGTAGTTTATACAACTCATAGTTGGGGAACTAAGTCATCTCGATAACTTAGATTCACGTAATTCCATCGATAACCTTGGCCTCCTTATTTATGAGTCAGCAGAAAAAAAAATCGTTTCGCATGTACAGGTCAACTTTATGATAACTAAGGAAAAATAGCTTCATTAAGACGTTTGTATTTGTGAGCTGTTCATATCTAAAAAATACAAATGTACACGAACGGAAACAAAGAAGCATAGAAACATTTATTAGTTCTGGTCCTACGGTTTTCCTGTGGGAAGGGGGAGGGGTCTGTGTTGCATTTGCCTTGTGCTTGTTTATTTGCAAACTGAATATATATTGAATATCTTGGGGGGGGGGGGGAGAGTAATAACTAATGAAATATTTTGAAACGATAAAGCTTACAACGATGTTCACACAGAGAGCGAAGCTATTAACAAATTGTCATTGAGTCAATGATAGTGTGTTTTGTTGTTCACTTAAATAGTTTTTGACCATGAATGCACGGTTCACAAGCGGAGCATCCCTTATCCTATCAATATCAGTGTCTATTATATTAATGTCGGGTAATTTCTTATATTGATAGAATTATCTATAATGTAACAGACAGCACTACGTGACAGACGGTAATAAGTGAATTCGACAAAGCCAACGGGATATGGTTGGGACCATGTCTGGCTTGTTTCCAAAGGTAAGGTTGTCAGTTACACGACAATAATTAAATAAAGGCAAAACATGAACACATTCAAACGTGCTATGGGCCATGGGTCATGTGTGCAACTCTCCAAATCGAAACATTTTTATTCAATTTTTGCATTTTGTTTTACTTTTGTTGAGCGGAATTGCCGTTATACAAAATTTGATTCAATAATTTATTGCGCATATTTAAATAACTGCTAACAGTCAACCATAAAAATGCATTTTTTTATTTTGTGTGTTGCTTTAATTTCCAATGAGTTTGTGTTATAGTCTAAAACTTCTCCCACAAACTCAAACAGGCGAAACTGACAACAACTGCAAAGTGTCATACTAGACTTCATTGGTGGGTTATATTTACACGTGTGTAAATATGATATACTGTTTTGTTTCAGTTTATATCGGACATGAGTCCTTTTATTTAATTTCAATTCAAAGACTAAAATGTTAACGATGACGTTACAAACGGGAACTGAATCCGGACGTTCTCGTAAATGTCAGTGACCCATGACTAAACCACCGGATCGTTCTCTATATCTGTTAGTATACGTTTATGTTAACACAAAATATACAAAGAAAAAGGTTCAAGAATGAATTAATGAGTCCATGTTAAACACATTTTACTACTTTTAAATAAAGCCATAGCATCGGACAAAGATTTAAAAACATTTTTTAAAAAAAAAAAAAAAAAAAAAATTATGTAAATGTCATAACAATATATTTCAATTTATTTCTTTTATACCAAAACAATGGGCAACAGGTTTAGATAACTTAAGATGCATTTCATTGAATCTTTAATGACAGAGAGAGAGGGTGGGAGGGGTCTCTTACTCCGATATGTGTTTGGTTTAGTCTATTGTGTTTACCGTCCTATTAACAGCTTAGAACCTAGATTGTTTATTGTCTAATGTTTCTGAAAATAAACAATTAAGCATGTCCCTCATTCATTTATGAATGGTAATATTGCCAAGCAAGGCGTTAGGAAACAAACTACTTCTTAGAAGTAGAGAGAAAATATAATGATAGCACATTTTGCAATTGGGTTTCTTAAATACCACCTGCGCAGGGAACAAAGCGGGAAATCACGATCTGCAGCGGTTGGTACGGTAGTACTAAAGGTAGTAAGCGTTCTAACGATAAATATAAACATCCCAATTTTGTTTTCATATCAAACGTTATATCGTGAACGTTTGACACCGGGATGGCAGCGGGCTACACACGAAATTATTAAATAGTTCAAAGTCAGAATGCTTGTCAGACCAGCGAAAGTTTGACACTGAACAAGTCATGGACTTGTACAGTGAAAGTTTAACAGCACGGAGGAAGTCTGAAGAGTTAACATAGCTGCATGGACATCGCCATTCAGTCATTATCTGATTATATATAGCATAAAGAACTCCTTATGACGTATATAGAGTTAACATGTGATCGATACATTTCCGCTATACACAAGACATGCCTTATTGAGTTCCTTACATGTCTGTAAACTATATTGATACATAAACAAGTAAACATAACTATATACTACCTTCACTCTGACGTCACATCTCTTAAGCACATCAAACACATTATAACACATGGATAAAGGAACAGTACAGGGAGTGGCGGACATTGTTACACATTATCTAGTTGTCCTATTATTTGTCAATCTGATTATTGTCTACACGTTTACTACAGCGTCTGTCTGTAATAAGCTATAAATGGTCATTTACAAATTTCCTTCTGAATTAAAATTAGATTTAATTTATTATTCAGAACAGAACGGTCAATTTACAAGGCAAACAGTGCATGATCTTACAGGGACAAGTATTAGAGAAGGCAATAACGTAAGTGAATAAGGAGGAAAGGATGGTTCGGTTTTATTTTGTTTAACGTCCTATTAACAGCGGAGGTCAATTCAGGACGTAGGGGGAAAGGAAGTAACCTTTACCCTCTTAGCAGGGAAGAAACCCTCACCCTAACTGTCTTAGCAAGGAAGTAACCTTAACCCTACTCATCTTAGTAAACAATTAACCATAACCCTAACCCTCTTAGCAAGGAGGTAACCTAACCATCTTCGCGAGGAGGTAACCCTAACCCTTACCATCTTAGCAAGGAGGTAACCTAACCCTGTTAGCAAGCAAGTAATCCTAACCCTAACCCTCTTAGCAAGGAGGTAATCTAACCCTCTTAATAAGCAAGTAACCCTATCCCTAACCCTCTTTGCAAGCAAGTAAACCTAACCTTAACCCTCTTAGCAAGGAAGTAACCATAACACTAACCCTCTTAGCAAGCAAGTAACCATAACCCTAACCCTCTTAGCAAGCAAGTAACCATAACACTAATCCTCTTAGCAAGCAAGTAACCATAACACTAACCCTCTTGGCAAGCAAGTAACCATAACACTAACCCTCTTAGCAAGCAAGTAACCATAACACTAACCCTCTTAGCAAGGGTGACAGAACGAACCTTTTTTAGGGACCATTGGTTAGTCGTTCGTTATTGTATTTCATAAATTTCGATATCAACTGTAGAATTAGTCTTACCGTTGTCTCGCCGATCAGCGTCCCTGATCCAACATCCCATATAGTTAGTTTCTTCTCTAAGCTGTTGTCTATTGCTGCTAACACGTCCTAAATCGGACAAAAATATATTGCATACCGGCTGTCTTCTATATGATCGTTCACAAGTAGAATTTGATCATAACTTTTACGAATAAGAATAATTGTAACGGCAAATGTGATCCCGGAATGAGCTGAGTTTTCCCCGGAAATCCTACAGATACAGAAATGTAGTCAGCAGTGTATTCGGCACACATGACTTCAATGCTCAATATATCGTCAAAAGGGGAACAACCTTTATTTCACTCATGTTGGTACAATACAGCAACAGGTAAAGGGAGACTACTCACCATACACATCCTACTATTGTTTGGTTCTGTATACAATAAGTGTGTGCTGCTCACAATTTATAGAATAGTGTAAAATGGATTTGTTTTTGCTCTTGAATGAGTGAACAAAATCTACATGGCTCGAAAAAAGTCGGTTTAGTCAACAATGTAAGGATGATTTGGTAAAACTTAACGAGAGGTTGATGTTTTAACGATTTTAAGATTCTTGAAATGATACAGCTTGCAATAAATATATACCATTCTAATAAATAATTAACTGTCGGTTAAGATAGATCATGAGAGAAAACCACGACTGAACGGCCATTTCTTTTGTCTGACAATAAAAAAAGTTTTCCTTTTATTACAATACAATCATCGAAGAAAATATCCATCCCAATACCTCACCACTCTCGTTTATAACGTTAGAACAATTATTGTCCATTGCAGACACAAAATAAATTATTAATATATCTGAACCACATAAAATAGCTGAACCGTATTGAATATTTAACAACATTTAAGAAAAAAACCACTTTGTGGAGAATATTTCGGTGTAATATATTTTCGAAAGTTCAATATACCTGTCCGTTAGCGAACGACAGGGACATGACTGCTTTCTGGAACCTGCCTTCCCCGAGCACACACATCGTCTGTAGGCTGTCTACCCGCCATACCCGGATGTGGGCCTGAAATGATCAACAACATTGATAATAAGATTTCTGGAGACATCAACCCTAGTTTTCTGTAAAATCTTAATTGAAATTCTTCATCAGATAACATAAGTAATATTTGTCTTACTTCTCCTAGTCACAGATCAACTTTTCTTCAAGAATAGACAGTCAGAGCCATTGATGGCATTTGGGAAAACGCCGGAACCAGTCGAAGATCACAAGACGTGGTCGAAGAGTTCCAATGAAAACAAATGTAGTGATGTAACCTGACGGTCAATCAATGTTGTTTGGTGGTGCTTGGGAGATGAACGCTAGACACAAGTGAGTGTACCTTTAAATTTGGTTTTAGGTACAGTACTCCAAACAATTGTTACGCTGTGTCATACCGCTGTTACGTCCTTCTATGACTCATCGGTGTCGCTAGGGTCTAACCTACTGCTGATGCAGAAAGGAATGTAACTAAAACCCCTTGATTTATGAATTTACAAAATGAAATGAGTTCTTATAATTTTTTAACTAATATTGAGTAACGTGGGTATATTATGAACCTTGCCATGTCACTACTTAACTAAATACCAAGCTGACAGCAAACCTTTGTAATGAAGAAAACTACTTTCTTTGTCTACACTCTTGTGCAAAACTACTTTCTTTGTCTACACTCTTGAAAAATAAAATTAAGACACGCACGTGACAAAAATATAGACATGAGATATAATTAATCGTATTTAACTTAAGTAACCCCAATCACTATAGTAATAAACGAAACCTATCATATTTTAAATGTAAGACTGACTACAAATACGATCATAAAGCATTCTACCACAAGCGTATGTTTAAAACTAACATGCATATGATATGAAATTGAGTCCTCATCCAATTATAATATTAAACTTTCACAACGGAGAAAGAATCATATTTATATTATTGGTATAAAAAGAAAATATAATTCATATTTACACTGATATTGTCTTTCCCAGCATACTGTCCCGAGGCGACCACTGACAAGTTGGAATGTACTGCAATACTGTGTGATGTAACGATTACATGGTTTTAGAACAACATCACGGAACGAGACGGACACAATATCACAATTAACTAAACTTTATCCACATTTTGCCAATATTGTCAAATACTACTTTACTATACCCAATTTTAAATAAGAGTGTGTATGGCCATACTAGTAATGCAATTGAAGCTTGAAGAGTGGAATAAGAATGAAATATTATTATAAATTATTATATGCTCAAAAGGTTATTCGAAATTTGCTATTGACGGGGGAAATATTGGTAAAATTAACACTTATCATATTTGTAGTTTGACATGAAAGAAATGACAAACTGAAACAAGTCATTATTTTTATGATACAATTTTAACGTAAGTATTTAAAAAAATCATATGTTAAATTCTAAAATACTGTCCAAAATTGACAATTTTAATCATAATCAAATGTGTATAGTTTCTTTGTCAACCATTGAAATAAATCTTTTGCAGTGTAAATATATTATTGTTTTCCTCTATCAACACATTATATAGTGAACAAAATATGGTCGCTTCTAAATAGTCACACGATGCTTTAGTATTCGGGGACTATAGGGTTCATTGACAATAACATGCATGTCATTAACACATCATGGGAATAAAGGGAATTTAACCAATCAGCTTCCTCGTACCATTTAATATCCTCGGTGTGTTCCCGGTAGTGTCGCTGTCTGTGACTGGTCCGGTCGTACAGCACGGCGATCTTAGACACAAAGTACACTACGTCATCATTTCCGAGAACGTGGATATTGGACCGGCAGTCGTTACCACGGTAACCGTATCTAAACAAAAATATATCGTTAAAATAACATTTTTTTTTAAATTGAGTCATGTACAGTCAATTACTTATAAACTGCAGATGCGGTGTATGATTTGAATAAAGACCATTTGAAGATTTAGGGGCCATTCCTTTTTAGACAGGGAAATTAATATACAGACAACTTAATCTTTCAGAAACCTCTTACACGCTTGTTTTCCACTTCAACATTAAATCCGTCGTCCCTATTGCTGACATTGTCCCCGTGAATATTGCCTGGACTCCATGGTGTGTTAACCGTCTTATATCATTTGTTTGACTTTATTCTCTGTCACAGATGGATAAGACAAGTGATTATTCTTCTTTTACTGGGCACAAGAAGACAGATCACACGCGGATTAACTTAAAAATCTACCACTTCGCAAAATACCATAATGCCAATCCCTGTTTAACAGTTAAACACTACCGTTGGTTAAAGATTCACCTGTCTACAACATATAGCCATTATAAATAGTCTATCATTAGTGTCCCCAACAGGAAAGAAAATGTAAGAATAAAGTTCGACCGATTAATTAAGTAAACAAATTATCGTGTAATCACTTACACCCATTCCAGGGCCAGTCTTTCCTGAGGTGGGTCTAGGGTTGCCTCGTCCTTATCATAGTTAGCCGGCTTAAGCAGTTTAATCGTCTGCTCCCCGAGCTTGATGCATAGCATTCCACCATCTTCCTCCTCCTTCTCCTTCACAACCCTACTTTTGTCCTCTTCTGAAAATATAGAATTCAGTCCTGTTAAAAATGCTTAAAGAAAAAAAACCTGTTTAAGTGTTAAAGATGAAATGGTGAACTGGCAGGAAGCAAGTTGACGTGTAGTTATTGCTGTGTTTATCTGGAGAATGCTGAATACATCTTTTAACCATTTAACTGATCTGAAAATGCGGTAGACGGCATTCTGAAGATAATAAACATAAAAAGATAGCAACATTGTAATCTTTATTTAGACATGCAAAAGCGTGTTTAATGCAAAACGCGCTAATGTTGTCGATAACATGACAAATAGATTCGTCAATTCGTTTCCATTTCAGACGAAATTTATAAAAGTTTCTTATCATTTAATTTGTCCCATGTTGAGTTTACACGTGCAATTGTTAGCCTCGTTCCACGAATCTATTTTAAAATAAAAGCTCATCTAAATTCCTATATACAACTTTTAGGTCATGTGACCAAAGCGTATGTCATCTGAGTAGATAAATTTTTACCGGCAAGTAACACTTTGACCTAAATCGGGTGTCGCTCATGAAGCAGAAGACGCTTACCATTCTGGAACACCTGGTCTTACTCTGTATATACTTCTGCAAGGATCACCATGTAAATTGTGTATAATGAGATATGTTGTCCCCTGTTTTATCTATTTCGAGTTCGAACTACAATGTTGTAGACACATCGGTATTTTTCTACGTTTTGACAGTAGAGGGTTACATTTAGAACTGCATTCATTAAGATACTTCACGTTTCGTGTCGTTTGTAGAGTTGTCAGCCTGTTTGGATGTATTCTCGCCAGACTTCCTGTCCTCTTCAACAGGTTCTGCTTTAGCTTCCACCTCCAACTTCTTTTTACCTTTAGCAAATATTCATGAAATTAGTAATAATAACGCTTAAAATTATAAGCTGACTTTGTATTACATCCTATCACTATACCTTACCATGTAAATAAAACTTTCGTATTCCACGGATACATTGTTATCTATAAACATGTATTTGAAGATGAATGTAACTCACGTGACTGTGATTGTACAATTTGGTAATAGATCTAGCAAACAAGAACTGAATTACACTTCCTCATACAGCTGTTTCGTCCTTCTAGGACTTGTCAGTGATGCTAGGGGTCAAAATATTGGAAACCCAAATAATCTAAACTATTGCTGAAAGAGATGGGCAGGTGCTAAAACTCCTTAATTATGAAAAGTAGACAGCAAAAATGTAACACTTCACTGCATTCAATATGACTCTAAGACATATGTGTTTTCGTGTTAGGATATTTTGCATTACGTTTTTGCACAAAGTCAACACAGTTTAATTACATATCCGACGTGTTGTTACAGTCTAACTTCCATAAATCAAACTTCAAATAATTCATTGATAATGTGAACTTACGGTAAAGTCCGGATTGTTCTCTTTATATAACACTACTGATAATACATCAAACATTTATGACTCGAATTTCTCGCTGTTTCGCCTTTAATCAAGGTCTAATCTTAAAAAATATGGAAAATTACAGCTAATAAATCGAAGTAAATAAAAACATTAACGAGAACATATTGGAAACGTTTATTACATTGAATCCAATATTTATAGATTTCATATAATTTTTCTTGCCATGTGATGTCAGTTTAAACAAGATCAAAACTATATTTGATAATACTGCATTTTACACTTGACAACCCCTGGTTCTGTCCTTAGAACAAATGAATTGGTATTTGGTTTGCCAAAATATAAAATTGTTAACATAATGCTGTATATGAACATTTGTATATGATGACATCTGGAATATATATATATATATACATTATGAGATATCTGTTTTCTGGAGAAAAAAAAATGTTTCCAGTCTGCGAAAGAAACGAAAGGAGGTACAAAGTTTCATGGTTCAATCTGTAAAAAATAGATATATAACTCCATACGTAATGGAAAAATTCACACTGAAAAAATAAATCTCCAAAACATCGTAAATATTAATAATTAAAATAGGGAAATACAAAAATGAAAGGTAAATGACAACAAACAAATGAAATAAAAAATAAGAAATCGTTTGGGATATGTAAACATAACGGGATATATCACGTGACATCACACCTTACACACGTCACCCTGTGACGTCATACCTGATATAAACGACCTGACGGAATGAATGAATCCGGAAGATGTCTTCACCAGTCCCTTCATCTTGCGCATGTCTAAACAGAGTCGGTCAGTGTGGAAGGAAGAGCATGCGTATAGACTAAGACAGTTACATACTAACAGAGAGATGTGGGATTCAGAAGTGGTAACAACATACTCGTAATCATCGATTACCCAAACCCTGAATATAACCCGACTCCACGACCCAATATCCCGATTTCAACTCAAGCCATAACCTTGTAGCACCCTCGCTCTAGCTAAATACGTATACTCTGATTCACATCCCACCACTCTACCCACCGATACGGCGTCCCATGTTCTAGCACCCTCGCTCCAGCTAAATACGTATACTCTGATTCACATCCCACCACTCTACCCAACAATACGGCGTCCCATGTTACCGCTATTTACGGTGCTTCACATCAAGTCTGTGACCCATTCGTCCTCATTGTGTCTGAAAGTCAGGCCCTGATTCACTTCGAGACCATCCTAAACTAAGCACCATGTACAATTAATCCCACAAAGGTATGGGGTCACCTGCCCGACCACGTGGGTTTCCTCCAGATACTCCGTTTTCCTCCCACAACAATACCCCCCGCGTGCTAACATCCGGGCCAACAAGAGTGATTAATATAAGTTGAAATAACTTGTTAATTGTTGTGAAATAAATAGAGTTTATAATCAATCCCACACTCCTACATAAAATATCAAGAGCAATTGATATGGAATCTATTTCAGTCAATGTCCTACACTCGACCCTGACCCATTTACACCAAAATACTCTCCTTATAGCCTATCGTTTCACATTCTCTCAGTGGCAGCACATATCCGCCAATCCATATGCAAGGCCCAGGCTTAACCCTATAATGGACGAAACCTTTCCCTAGCCCCTACCCTACATTGTACCCGACAGTAAAATTCGAGCCAGTTAAAATGTCCTCAATATCAGCCTTATGTCGTTTTTTTTGCTATTTCGCATAGCCTCTGGTCTCATCCTTTCTGTCTCTCTCAAAACCATGTTTTGTAGTCAGGACACCAATTATTGTCATGTCTTACCATTTGCCCTTTTTATCTCACTCTTCCACAATTACCCCACATCCATACCTTGATCATCAAACATTACCACACATGCTTGTCCTAGGCTCGGTTATAACCAGAATACGGACGTCAAGCCTCATCAATCAATCACTCATACTCCACATTTGTAACTAACTCCTCAACCCATTCTTTATTCCTTAACCCTTTACCCACAATCATACATTACTCCTCAACCAGTACTTATTAGTAATACCTTACTCCTCAACGATTACCCCACATTCAGTCACCTGCCACTGGCGGTTCAGGCTGCTGATGCTTCAGGGGCGAAATGAAGAATGGTTTTCACCGTTTTGTTTATATGTTTGATTTTCGACCTGCACTCTTTTCTGCATATCAGAAACAAAATATTACACTTATTATTTAAGTGTTCCTTCGTTTAAAGAACCACATCCAATTCAATTATATATAATGTAGTCGTTCCATACACTTGAGAATGTAAGGAAGGACAACTCCCCTGACTGCCAAATGTGTAAACATATATAATAGCAGATAAAGATGTATAATCAGAAGAACACAATCATGCGAAACAGGTATGAAAGTATACTACAGATGTAAGATAATAGCTCATTTCAATGCTTATATGTAAGATTTCTAAATAAAATACACATGTATATGGATATACCTGTAAAATATATAGTCAGAGCTAAATATTAGAAAATGTCTACAAATGTTTCAAGACAAAGAACATGTGGAAACTTTGTGCGTGTGACACAATTACACCACAAGCATAAACAGTGAAGAGCACGTGCGCCTCTAGCTAGATTTATTTTGAGATTGAAATAATACAACAGGACCATTCAGATATTTGTGTAATAAAGTAGACTTGAAATAACTAAAACTTACTCTCTGTGTGTTTCAGGGACTTCGCTGCCTCACTCGACTCTATAGCCGGTTTATCTTCGGTTTTGTCCGTGTTGTCATTTTTCGGTTGTTTAGCTATTTCCGGTTTGTCGACGTCTTCCTGCTTGGTTTCGCTTTGTGGAACATCTTTTTTACTGTTCGGAAGGTTTCCCTCTTTGGAATTTGGTCGGGACACCTCTTCTGTCTTCACCGGCTTGGAATTATTTGCTAATTGGGCATCAGGTTGAACCTTTTCTTCTTTTTTAACCGGTTCTCCCGATAAAGGTTCCTGATTTTTTTCCGGTTTTTTGTCATTGTCTTTCGCTGCTTCATTTGGAGTTTCCTCCTTCTTTTTTGCATTTCGGACTTTAGAAAGGGATGCCTTTAAAACAAATGTATACGTTTTTAATAGAATATATACAAGAATAAAACGTATACTCTTAAAACGTACAGGTATTGGACTAATGAATGGAAGGCTGGGCGCACCTGGAACAATTTAACTGATTTCTCAAAATATATGGTATTATAAAATAGTATATAATAAGAAATCAAATCAGCATTGTCTCGAAAATAGAAAATTGAGCCCATTGAATTATAAAATTGATTCGAGGACGAGAAAACATTTGAGACTGCGGTAGTTGAAAAACAAGCATTGTCATGAACAAAATTCTTGTCACCTTTTTACTTAAAAGCTTGCCGATGAGTTTTGACTTCGTCTCCTCTGACAGCTCGACAATGGGGTCGGCTTGGATCCGGGCTTTTTTTGCCTGTTCTGGTAACTCGGCCATTTCCGGATGTTTCTTCCATGCTGTTTCCTGTGCCTTCTCCAGGAAGCTTAGGAACTCAGGCCAGCTTAAATTCGAACGTGCAATATGTTACTTCATGAAACATATGTATTACTAGTGTTTATAATTCAAAGGCTTTTACTCACAACATATGTATGTTATATGAAATAATATATATATCTACATCATATAAACTCTTTCAAGTTCAGAATACTAGGATGTATCTTGGGCAACTCATCATACGAGGACTGCTCAAGTTTTATAAGATAAGTGGAAGATGTTGTTCCGATCACACCGCTTGACAACTATTAAGCATATTGCTAATACACACACCCTATCCTGACCTTGTTGCTCCCATCACAGCGCTTGACCAGTAGTGACACTATTGTTGTTGTACAAGCAAGACTATAACAGTATTGTACATGCCACCCACGACCAGTAGTGACACTATTGCTAGTGGACATACCTGACCCTGCCGTTGTTATCACCATCACATCGTCTGACCAGTGCCTTCAGTAGAGCACCATACACAGGCACGTTCCTACGCCCACAGATGTCAAACATCTACATCAACAGATCACGTGATTATCGTTATATTGGTGTACTTAGGTAAGTGATGCAATGATTAAAGGTAGCACTATAGAACGGACTAAATAACCAAGCCTCCTTTTCCCGGATTTGCTACCCCTAACCCCGCCCCCAAATAAAGGACATCCGGTATACCGGATATCAAAGTGCCGTAACAACTACATAGATGGATGTTTTGCTACAATCGCGATTACAACATTAGCATACAAGAAGGTTAACTAATGAAATCGCGTCCAGAGTGTTTACAACTAGTGGTGAACCAAAAATGTTTACAAACACCTGGAAAGTTTATCCTATGAGTTCGGAGTGATAAAACCTATAGTAGTTGTGGGAGAATAGGATAAACCCAGTACATGCTGCAGCTGACGATTTCTGTTCAGTTCACAGGTTTTACTTTTGTGCCTTCTACCGGGGAAAACGAAAACGACTAAAGTACACATACTGAATACTAAACCTATTGCAGCATTGGACATATTTGGTTCTCTCTTTTTGTCTCACTTCTTCCGTGTCCTATCGCCACGTATTTGGACAAGAATGTCGTTTTTTGCAATAACTCGATTTGACGTTAATGTATCCTAAACAACACAAATCAATGTCCTAAAATTGGTATTTACTAATGCTTTCTGCTTGACGTTCAGCTTTGCGTGTGTCGTGAGTATAGCAGTGACTCTAGCGAATTAGTACACTGCTTTACCTACGACCGGCTTTGGCAATGAACCCTAACATTATTAGAACTGACCTCAGTCTTGTCGACCCGGCCAGTCTTATCGCGGTCCTTGTATTGGAAGGCCTCCCGTAGCTCAGGAAGGTCAAAAAAGGTATTACTGCGCACGAGTAGGTCCTCTAACCGCGCCAAAATGTCATTGTCCTTCTCTTCCGGGGTCATTTCCGGTCTGGGGATCATGTCGTTCCTGCTTTGTAACGCCATCACACTGTCCCTGCCTGGTAATGTAAAACAGAGTATTTATTTTAGAAACGGTCCAGTCGGGTTGTGATATGGCTTGGATGTCAAAACAAATAACCATAGTTCATACAGATTTCACTATTAGATAAATTGTAAACACTGACCAGGTCTCATCAATGTCCTGTCATAGTTAAATACGTTAGTATGCGGAACCGTCAGCAAATCAGATAGTAGTATGCTAAAAAATTACGGCCAGGTTTTGCTCACCTTTAGCTCAGCCTTTGTCATTGTATAAAATAAATATAAACCAAGTTTTATCAGAATCCGGTTATATTTGGAAAGCTATAATTTAGAAACTGTCAACTGATCACAGTATGCAAGTTAATTGTATGCAGATTTGCTCATGTTCAAACCTAGACTCAGTCGTTGTATTGTGTACAAGTATATAAAAATTCATAAAAAGTACGATATTTAAGCAACAGTGTTTACGAACGGACGCTCTACATACTATAAAACGCCCCTTTAATTTTTTAAAACAAAAAAGGTAGGCGGAGAGTTGACCTTAACCACTACTGACCTGGTAATTTGAAATCATAGACGAGCCAGCCTTGAGGGCGATTCTATTGGCCATTACCTGAACGAGTATGTGCCTCCGTCATGTATCTATACATCTTCTCAAAGTCAACGCCCTGCTGGTCCTCGAATCTCCCCAGTAGGATCTGTACCACTCTGTTAGACAGCTTCACGTGGTTCTCCTGTCGTAATCACACACAGTCGAAATGCAAATGTCTTATTGGTAAAATTAATCATTGAATTTTTAACGGGCCATCAACACAGAAGTAGTATTAAGGGCTTGTGAAAGTAGACACAACATGTAACATGTAAAATGAAATCAAATCAAATAAACGGAAAGATAAAAGATAAACGTCAACTCGAAAAGCAAACGAAGCTATTTCAAGGTTTTTTAAGTAAAGACGGCACTTAAACTTGAGGTAAAAGATCAGGTGATTACACGAGATTAATGTATGTTATTGTGACAATTTCCAAGGAACTGAATTGTTCGATCTGAAATGTCCCAATTTAAACTAGATCTTCCAGGCTACAAACTGCTACACAGTTTTGTTCTGATTTGCATACCAGGGCACCTAAACCGGTATTCCTAGCCATTTTACGTGACCTTTGACCTACCTGAAATGCCTGACCGAGGTCCTTCTGTGACACTCTCAGTTCTACGTTACTGTAGTGACGGAGACTCATGTGTACCGCCCGAAGGCGCTGTCGGCTGTAATCCCGGAGGTGTTCGGCTATGTATTGTAGCGCTTTCTCCTCAGGATCATTCACGTCCTGTATCGCTACAATACAGCACACATTTAAATAAGAAAGAAATCGCGTCAGTCTAGACACAAATGCGCAAAGAATGAAAATTCCTTACTTAGAACATTTTAGCTTCCGACGAAAATGTAAGTGTTCCATTTCTGATATTTAGGAAAGACTTTTAAATAATGCTTATATGTCATGCTTATTTGTCGTTATATGTTGAGGTTTCAGTCACCTATCAACCTGTACGAGGGACTGGATGCCCATAGGCTAATATGTGGTAGAGTATGGAAACTTCTTATCCCATATTTTGTAATGACAACTTGTTGACGAGCTATTTATCAAAACACCTTAAAACATGTAATATTTGAGTATACTAGGAGTTTTATAACTTTTAATACTCAATTTGTATTGTATTCCAATTACAGTAAAGTCTGTAAAGAAAACGTCTTAATAAATACCACTCGTAAGTATACTGCGAACTTAAAGGTGTTAGAGGAGTTCCGATCACACTTACGCTCTCTCTTAAATGTGTTGGGTGTTTCAACAATTTCTGTGGCCTTCGGAGTCTTTCTACCCTTTTTATCCGTTGTTCGGACATTCCTCCTTGTATCCTGTGGTAACAAAACAAAAATTACAGACATTTATTGAAAGTGTTTAACGGAAAGATGGTGTTCTTTCATTTTCGCCAAAATTATATGTCTTAAAGTTTAATGGCATCGGTTTCAATACAAAAACTGTCGATTATTCTGCGCATGTTTGGGATAAAAGAAACTATTGCAGCACAATATCGTTGGAAACCGTCTACAGTCTCCTATAAAATCAGAATTGTCTGCGCAGGGGTCCTATATGAGGCACGGTAGTCTGGTGGTAGGACACGGTGCTCGTGACCGAAGGATTGCGGTTCCGAGTGTCACGTAACGGCACTATGTTGTATCTTTAAACAAGATACTTTACTCCGTTTGTTCCAATCTATTCAGCTATTAATGAGTACGTGGTTGGGAAGCGCTTGAATTGTAGAATGCTAGCTGTGAACGCCGAAATGGCAGCACCGGTTGTATGCTTACCAGGGAGTTGAGAAAGATATTGGCTGGTTGCAAAGGCCCTATAACCACGGATAATAATTTGTGAACCGCTTTGAGACGACCTACGAACTAGGTGATGATAAAGCGGTATATAAGAACCTCGTATTATTATTATTATTATATGCATGTCGCCTCTCACGACATAGGAATGTCTGTACAGGTGTCCTATATATATATCGCCTCTTGCGACATGCATTAAGATAAAACAGGCCTATTGTTTGTCCCCTATCATACAGGGGTATAAAACAACCGGCCTGATTCTGATGAAAACGACTGTCAAAATACACGTTAACAGTGTAGGCGGGGGAAGGTTATAACTATCAAGAACCGTAGTGTTTACGATTATAAAAATCGAAATTGTCAAGTTGAGAGAACAGTGTTGACTGGATTTCGAACATAAATGACTTATCTCGCTAGTTGTTGATGTGTTGATGTTGAAAGGTACTAATGGATAAAGCTACCCGCAGAAAAAATGGGTTCACTTATGTTAGCCAGCCTAAAATAGGAATTGTTTTGGCAAATTTGTAAAGTAGCATTTAACACAATCATAAAAATATTCTAATCCTGAAACAAGATAATGTGAATTAAAAAATAATATGAAGTATGATAAAAAAATCGAGAAATACTGATTACCTTATCATCAACATTGTCTGGCTGGTTTCTTTTCCAAGGCGTGTTTGATCGCGCGCTTTTCACTCTAGACCTCGCTGAACCGGAAACGTTTTGATTTGCAGGCATTTCGGGATCACTTGCGTCACTTCCGGAACTGTACTAAACAGACATGGAATAATATTCATGTATACAAAATATGCCAAGATGGAAAAAGTCAAATAGACGATTAACAAATAATAACGGCGACAAAAGACAGTTCGGACTCACTTCTGCTCCTTTATTAAATAAATATGGAGATTAACAAAGTGAAATATATAGACAATAGACAAGCAAAAAATGCTACCTTAATGTAAACACATGACTCTATTTAATTACTTACTACGACGCTTGTTTTTGGATTTTGCACCATAGGAATGTTACTTTTCGTTAACAAATTCATTGTATGCAACTTTATAACCTACATGTGATTTTTTATTGATATCCATCTCGGTAACTTCTTCCAGCTTCAGATGCAAATTAGAGTCCTTCCCGCCATTCGACGACGGTATTTCGACCTCCTTTTCTTTTTCATCGGTTTTAACGGCATCCTGTTTAATTTCCCCTTTAACCTCGTTCTGGCCGTTACTTCCTTTTCCATTCGGAACTTCTCTTATTTGGTTTACTTTGGGCTGTTTCTGAGATTTTGGTTTGGCGTACACCCTGTATTGGCTATCCGGAGATGGTTTGATCTTGTTTAGTTTAGACGTACCACTAAACAATGACAATGACTCCTCCATTATTTTAGCATACGTGTCCTTTGAATGATGGTGGATAGTATCCACGTATCCCTTTCGTTTTTAATCCTCTTAGTCAACTTTCATGTTTTAAATGAAAAATAAATATTGATAACAACGTATATTTATCATAGTGTAATGTCCATGCTGATACTTTTAAGCTCTCGGTTTTTACCGGATTCACAATTATTGTCCAGTAGGTTTAGAAATAAAGCACCTGCACTTTTAACTATGGCCACAGTATTTTGTCGACGCGTCTGTATACGTCAGAGGTACCTCTCCATACCTAAACACCATTATAAATTATATCTCTGGTAGTATCCATACTCGGGTCCGGGAGTGATATTAAGTCATGGTTATATTTCATATCCTTGTCTGATGCCAATTATTCCCAAGAATCTATCTGGTGTTAACAGTTCGTATGATAATCAATATTGTATTTATAGTATAAACAAACGACACGTTCGAAAGGTTTCCTTTTATCTCACTGATGATCAAGTAAGTTCCCTTCGCTCCATGCAAGGTTACACCACAAGATATATCTTTCCACAAGTTCGACCTTCCTAAAACATCCTCCAAATTCGACTGATACCCTTTCTTCTATTTGCACACGGTACTTAGCTCTATATCGGGGTATCGCTGTCCCAGTTCCACTTCACACATGTCTGTTCTAACAAGTCACAAATCGTTAGCAACAATGATGGAAGTCAACGGGACTCCAACATACAGATTAACGCTACTTTCGCGTAATTGAAAATGCCAGCAGACACAGTTGGAATAATTCAACTCTGTTGATAAAGGCACTACTACTCATGTAATGCAAACAAACTTTCTTATCTAAATATTATGTTGATTTTCGATCAGATATCCGTCCTAATTGCGACATTGGTAGATTCCTATTGACATTTATTTAACGCCGACTACACCTTACCTGGTCCGGTTACAGAGCCATAGGTAACGAACAAACAAACACAGTTACACAGCCAACACACACATAGAACAGTATTGTGTTAAATGGTCAATGTTTTTTAATGATCCCATTTCTTTGAAAAGGTTTGGAAGGCAAACAGACGCGCTCTACCAGAACATGCCGGACCATTTCCATCAACTGTTCAACTGAGACTTCCATCAATAAGCCGGTGACATTATCTAAATGCAGTAGTTTAGAGCTTTGCACAGGTTTTCTACATGATTGGAGCTGTATGACACCAACACGACAGATCATTAACTCTTTGTAGCCCAGGAATCGGACGTCAGGAGAACGTGATTGAGACTACACCAGTTCAAGCAAGGCGTATGGCGTTATGGAAACCTTAATATGTTTTTGTTTATGTACTGAATCGCCCTTACATGACATAGAAATAACTGGTATGTTTTTCTATGTTTTACGTCATATTGACAGCTATGGTCATTTAAGGACGTGCCAGGTTTTCGTGGTGGAGGATAGCCGGAGTTTCGTTCCCAGAGAAAAAAACACCGAACTACGTCCAGTACCTGGCGACTGCCCCAAAAAGGTCTCGAACCCGCGACCCAGTGGTAGAGGTCTAGTGGTAGCAGAATGCCAGAAGCCTCAACCACTCGGCCACCGCGGCCCCTGACTGCCATGTTAAATGGCTCCAATTATTCTCTAAATAAATATGGTGATGGTTAATAACACATACTGTTTTACCATACATACCTTTCATATAAAAGGGTAGATGTTATCGGATTTCATGATGAGCATTTTGACAGTGTTTCGATGAAAATCGGGGTTTTGCTGTTCGGACAGTTTCCTTCACAAATACAAGAATTGCCGGTTGGAGCTATTCAACGAACATTAGATTTGTGAATGTTTATCACTAAGAAGATAACGTCCCGGAAACTAGGTTCACAACCGTTGGATGATGTATGATTAATGTTCAAACATTAACACTTGACTTGCAGAGATCAACGTTAAGCTGACATGATAAGCCTCTTCTTTGTCCAATATTCCATGGATACATCCAGCTGATTCTGTGACAATAATGGTTTCATTGGAAATTACATCTTATAAATCATACTCCAAAATTATCCACAACACGGGGAATAGCCAGTACTCCATACTTATGAATAACGCTCAAGAAAACAAAAATGGTACTCCATAATTATATTTTACTCCATAACATGAAAAAATATATTCAAATTAATCCTTATAATTGAATCTACTATACACAATCCCTGTTAAAATCCACTTTTATTGATGAACTCTTTTCTTTTAGAAAATATTGCGCTGCTGTATCAACCAATCAAAAGCGACGTTACAAATGGCGACGTCATGTTTTACGTTATGGACTGATAACATATTTTTTTAAGCCAATAAAAATGCTTGTTACAAGCGAGATTAAATTATTATTCCATAATCATCTAATACAACGAGGAAAAGGTATACTCCACAAGCGCACTAACGAAACCCCCAAAACTATGTTCCTCACTTGAAACAAGGGGTTCTCCAGAATAATATACAATACGTGAAAAAATGATACTCAATACTGATACATCACAGTAAGGAATAAAAGAATACATCAAAATGGTATTCCACAAGCAGACTAGCAAAGCCTTCAGAATAATGTTCTTCGCCGGCAATAACTGTTTCTCCAGAATTATATACGATATGTGGAATAACTAATATTTCAGAATTGTAAATATCATACAAGAAATAACTAGTACTCCAATATCACACAAGAAATAACTAGTACTCCAGAATAATAAACCACAAAAGGAATGTCTAATACTCCATAAAAATTCACGTCGAAACTTTATATAATCTCCATTAAGTTTATATGTTATTGACTGTAAACGAGGACATAATCATGTTTGAGAAATGCCTCGTTCATAGCTATACGAATACCATATACCATCAATTATCCGTGACACACATGAACATCATGATGATAACGTGGTATGTCAGGTACATCTATCCCAGTTGCTGTAGCCAATTATCCAGTTTATAAGATCTGTGTTGTATTCCTGTTTGCACCTCTCATATAGACAGGACGTATCACTACAACACGTACCTAATAGTTCATTTATCACGTTGGCAGTTATATCTTATGCTCTAGAATCCCTTGTATGTCTCCTGTAAGTCAGAACCATCCGGAATCGAAAATCTCCTGTTAGCCATATCACTGTTACCTTATTTTATTATTGCCTGCTATTCAGAACCAGACAGTCCAAAATCCTGATCATGTCAACTTATTTGGGTAAATATTCATAACATTTCGTAAGGTGTCCATGATGAAATATCATATGTCAATGACACATCAAAAATGAATATTTTAAATTGCATTTGATTGTAAATATTTAAGTTCCTGATTCTGTGAACTAACTATTTGAACAGGAAAACATTGTTTGAAGCAAAGTATATTCAATGGATTTTTATTCAATTTTCTAAAACAAAAACATTTTTACAATTCATAGTACATTCCTAGACACTAGGGGAGTACAAATAAAACCATAACACTTGCTTTAATGCTTTTAGATGATACGTTCCTGTGAAGCGTGCCATCAAGCTGATAATTTTTTATACGAAGGTGTCCTGATGGTACCAGATACCGGGTAAACACGCCTCATTCCACTAACCTCCATCCGTAATGTCCCGTAATGGATGGCCGGCCCGACACGTACTTATCAGGGCCTACTACCTGGATCGTATAGCCGTTATTATAAAGTACAGATAGGCCATTCTAATATCATGTATCGTCACCAAAGTGTATAATAGAACGTGATAAGACGGGAACTGATGGGTGAATGGGGGTACCAGAAGGGGAACGATGTGCGAAAGTATAGCATCTTACCCTGTATTGTGTAATAGTCGAATCTAAAACGGGCATATCCCCGAATACTGGCGCAACTAGAAGGTGAAAGAGGATTATTTCTGACGCCTGTTCAAACGTTTAGATTGGAAGAAATTTCTTCAAACGTGTACATTTGAGAGGGATTTATCCAACATTTCATATGTGCATCAAAGTTAGCAAAGGAGAATATATATTCACACATTTTATTATTCGAGAACGTTATCATGGCGTCATCTTATGTATCGTGAACAGGACAGCGTCATCAATGTTGTCCCATATATCATGCGCCCTTGATAATACCGCAGTGCATTGAGTTCACAGTTATAGGTTATTTTTTTCTAGGAAGTAGAGTGTGAAAGTAAAAGTAATCAATCACTCCTACGTGAAGAAAACAGAAAAATATCAATCTTCAGGATTAGCTGTTCTATAAACCTTAGCACGAGGATTCAGTAGGTTCAGATTTCTCTTGTCTGCAACACAGCAGTGAACATTTCTAATAATCCTGGACTGCTGGTTAATGGAGAGACAGAGGGGTGTATCTCTTATTGTGAAAAAAATCTTGTTACACAACCAATAAGTGTTTCTATGTGATGTTTCGATGACTAGTACGGTATATACTCTTTCACCTTCATCAGACGGTTTGATGAAGTCATCAAAACGTCACATATAACCCTTATTGGTTGTGTTACAAGAATCTTTTCATAATCCATACTTACCAACATATAGAAAATGTTTAGAAAGAAGGGGGTTTAACCCATGCCCAGATACATGTATGTATATACAAAAGTTATGTTTTCAGGTTTTACGCCTTCGCAACTGTAAAGGTAATATATAGATTGAGTACTAACACAGTAAGCCGTGTCCGTAACATTGATCAATGTGTTCTATAGTTTGTATTGGAATGGTGTTGGTTTACAAAATAGATCTAGTGCGTTTAGTCAGACCTGACATATTTGTATTGTACGCATGGAGAGCATGTTTATACGTCGTCATAACTTGCACCATATCATTTTGTTAATGTTCCGAGCAACAAGTAAATGAACGCATAAACTAAATAGTAATCCTTCTCTTTCGTTTCCTATACTTGCATCATGCTGGTCTTTTATATTCTCGACCGTAGGAACAGTTTTCAGCATGCAGTTGTTCGAAAATGTTCAATATAAACGTTTTATTATATGAGGTAAAGATATGACAAGCCGCGGATGCTTTACATTCACGGAATATATTGTAGAAATATACAACGTCAGTGAATTAAGGTTCCGCTTTCAATATCTTCTACCATGTTTCCATTGGCCTTATTGAAATAGCGAATAGTAGACAACCTCTTCTCATATCTCAAATTATCGACAAATCAATTATCAAAATCGATTTATCTGTGGACTTTGTTCTCCGGTTACATTTACTAGACGAAGTCAACAATACCATGTGGTCGATGGCTAATCTAGGATCTGGTGTCAGCCACCATCCCTGGTCCTGTTTGTCCTATATTAAAAACATTGGTTCACATTTAATAACATCTTATTAAAAGGACAAAATAATTTGTGAAATATTCATTCAGTGTAATCCTTTTCCAGGAGAGTGCAAAAATAACAATTACACTTGGTTTTCAAAAATGATGGAAAATGATGTTGTTTTCTGTATAATTGGTAGAGTGACCAGGGTCCAGTAATGTTGTCAAAATTCAAATTATTAAATATAAATTCTCGTCTGATTTCCAATTTGAATATCTCGTCTGACAGAAATGGTAGCCATCGAAAACGAAATCTTATTCAAAATGAGTACTTCAACATATGGTAAACTCTGCTGTAAACTCACAATGTTACATGAACCGAACAAAATCATCCCAATAAACAGATTTTTTTAATTTGTTATGAATATGAAAACAAATTGACTAAAATGCATTTATCACGTGACAGGAGCGATAAGACAACGTTCAAAAATGGGAATATACCACGCGTTATCAACAAAATCCATATCTTGCCGTACAACATCCTCTCTGGGTCAACACCCTAGCATGTATCCTTTAAGAAGTTTGTTTTGGGCGTTTAACATTTCTTCCCCCGTCACCTTTCATATTTGGTAGTATTCACGGAGTTGCAGTTTAACCATAGAATTATTCAACAACGCTTCGTCTTTAATATCTTCCCCAATTTTCACGTGACTGGAAGGATTAAAAAACAGATAACGTTTAAACATGGCACGTTGACGCGCACCATGGAATAGGTATGATCCGAACTGTGCCAAAGAAACTAACAAGACAACAGGCATAAAGGATGACGTACATACCTGGCTTTCTTGCTCCATGGTCGAGTCTTGTATAACATTACCTAGGTACGTTTGCCTTCGCTATGTATATCATTAGTGGTGGTTTTCCATATTTTCGTGTTTGGAATCACAGACTTTTCTTTAATCTCCACTACTGTTTTTCTAGTCAACTTAACGTTGTATACATGATCACCGTCATTCAATACAGAATCGACAAGCACGCAGCAAAGAGACCAAAGTATTGCCGTACAACTCTTCTGATTACTTTGACAAAAAATAAAATATATAAAAGATACGAGTCAGATTTACTTAACAAAAACTGCAATATCATATTTCATCACCAAAGGTTTACTATGCTTAAGGTGTTTGCCTGGACGTAATTACTTCGGCAAACAAGCTTGATTGATTCAGACAGGTTAAAATAAAGGACTCTTTTTATAACTACTACCGGACCTTGTCGCTCACGACTGATTGCGTCCTTCAGGAAAATATTGGAGCCGAGTCTCCAGGCCTATGAACCGGACGGTATAAGGTAAAATGCGGAAATAATTCGCTCAATATGAGCATTCGTTTTCACCGATTTGTCTGATGCCGTTGGTAACAGTATAAATAAAGCTATGAGAAGTATGTTACAGATTGAAAATCTTGACAACAGCTAAGGTCATATAACGACCGTAAAATATACATAATTCGCTTTACGCCCATACCGGTGTAAGGAAAATAGGCCTGCTGGATCCTACACCATGGCCTAATAGGCGACAACTGTGGGGCCCTGCACAATCGAGAGTGGGTTTCTTAGTTAATCTCTGCTTAGGAGTTTGGTTTGGTTTTATTTTGTTAAATTGTATATTAACAGCTAAGGTAATTTAAGGACGTGCCTCTGTGTATGTTGTGGATGCGTACATGTGTGTATGTATGCCGGAGAAACGGTATGTTGGGTGCTTGCCCCCTTATGATAGCGCGGATCTGATGCCGACTGAATAGTACCATTTCACTCAGATACAACTCAGGCACTGATCTACTGTTTTCAACGCAACGCATAGGATCTATTTCGCTAGCTTTCTTTTCGGTTGTGTTTCCTTAGGAACCTGTCTTCATTTGACCTAAGATGTCGCGAGAAAGCTATATATACCCTATATTTGTATATACAAACAAATAAACGAAACATATTACGTAGGTATTAATGCATTCTCTTACATTCGCCCGACCACGTCTATCAAATGAACACGGCAATATTAGCAAAAGGTGGATTCTGATTTAAGCATCGACCAATCAAATTGCTATAAGCTTTTTTGTGAACAAATGTGATATAAAATAGTTTCATTACAATTATTGCCACATTTATCTATTTTCCAATCAGTCACACGTTGCCGTGCACTTTGCAGGATACAAACGATTATTGGAGATCTATCTGCATTCGTAACACACATACCATAGTATACATTGCTGCACCGAAATACAGATACATTATCAGAAACCAGGACATTCGTATATATTCTACATTGCTGCACTGAAATACATATACCTGTTAATTAACAAGGACGCTGTAAACGAATTAGTGTCGGCTTAGAATAGCTCTCTATATGGATAAGTGCACAGGGGTATTATTGATTACCTACTCCTGCCGCAGACAAAAGAGCGCTTTTCGGTCGATAGCTAAAATAGTTTCTCGGAAATTTAATATACCCGTACAGGCCAGGTAAAGGACGCTGATCGATATTCCTGGTCAATAATGTAATCTCTTCGATCACCGGTAGTTTAGGCGACAGCATGTACATTTTTACAGGTAGAACGGGGGGATCTTGATAGTCACTACAGAGTTGTCTTTCCTGTGCCTGCTATTTTGATGAAGACATAATTCTGTCAGCATTTTCCAATTTCAAATTCCTTAACTTTTGGATAGTGCTTTCATTGGTTTGAAATATAAATAAGCCTCTCGTTCGGAACAAGAAAGATTTGCTGCATGTTTAAACATTAGCAAGCCACTAATTTATGCCCCTGCAGAATCGGGGGAGGGAGTTTCTCCTATCCCCAGTGCCTTTTATTTAGAGGAAGCATAAGAAACATTTATTGACATGCAAACCCTCATTACAAAGGTTACAAAATATGTTTAAAACATAGTTTCAGCGTTGGCTACCCACGCGCCAATATCAGTAAACAACCAGACAAGGAAGACACCAATAATGATCTGAAGCCTCAATTGCAACTATTGGAATCTTTTTCGTTGCCTTTCTTTCCAGACATCTTTCTTTTCTTTCTACTTTCAGTTTCAGGCGGTGGCTCCCTGGGCACCCGTCCTCATATGACATTGACTGTTGCAAGGACGTTAAACCCCAAGCAACAAACAAACATATTATTATATTTTCAAGCGACGCATTTACAAAGGTCTATCATGACAAATACCTACTACGGGATCCAAATCAACAGAACCTGTGAACGATGATACAAAGGTGTTTTACCTGTAAGGTTAAATATTCCGTCGGAAATGTTTTAAAACATTTTCATTGACATGTTAAGCTGGAGACATCCCCTAAAAGAGCTTCATTTACTCACACGATTTTAGATATATCCTCTGACGCTCGCTTTCGATAGATTGGTTTGCACCGAGATATGAACAAGAAAGTTTCTTTTACAAAACAGTTTAAAGGTATTATCTTAATCAATATTATGGAAAGATAAATTTGAAAATGTCTTTGAAAAAGACTCATCAAAAACAGACTCAGTTTGGAGGTATATCTGTAACTATTTTAATAGTAAAACAGATATTAACACCCACCTCCCGATAAATCAATGAAGTTTATCAAATCGAAATTTTACTTATAATTCAAAATAAATAAAAATAACGCTTTGATGCTTTATTCTATATAGTATAAATACTTTATGACTGAATTACTATTGCAGATGAACTCTTATCTTTTGCCATGAAATGATGCTATAACGGAAGACTATAAAGGAATAAAGATGACAACTGCTGATCTTCGTTATGTTCTGTGTATAACATCAGAATTAGTACACGGGCTCGCATGTCACGTAACAAAAAATCAATTTCGAATCTCTCTTTGTAATATCTGATTCTCATCATATTTGTAAGTTTTACTCGATACTAGCTGATGTTGTTTTATGTACAAAACCATAGGTGTTTTCTACAAGTGGTCACTTTTTTCATTCGGACAAGGTTTGGTTTCAACGGGTTTCGCGTCCTATTAACAGCTATGATAATTCAAGGAAGTGCCACTATGTGTGTTGTGCATGCGTATTTATGTGTACGGCGTAGGTGTACTGGAGGCAGGGTATGTTGGTGTATTGGTCTCCTTAAGATAGCAGATTCCAATGCCACCTGTATAGTGCTACCTCACTGTAATAAGCTGGTTAAAAGAAATGGATATATCCCTGTATCTGTAATTCGATTTATTTACTTCATCTATGCTACACTATATTACAACTGGTTTACCCGTTGTCAGTTAACTCTGACCGGGCGGAATGCTGTCCTGGGTGCCTGTGGCATGGCATTTCATTGAGCACTATTAAAGTCGGCATTATAACCGCGCTATCACAAGGAGGCAAATACACAAATACGCTCTGCATCCGACACACATGCAAGCATATACAAAACACACGGAGGCATGTCCTTAAATTACCTTAGCCGTTAACAAAATAAAACCAAACCGCTCATCTTTTTCCAAAGCAGTCAAGTGTGGATACTTCATTCCTTATATCTACCCTTAATCCAGGGCCCAGTTGTTCAGAAGGTGATTAGCTTAATCATCGTTTAACGACATTTTTCAACCTCTAGTAATTTGGTCAATAAACAGGGTAAAAGCTTGTAATTTTGCATGCAGTTTACCCTTCTAAAATTTTTGCTTTATGGAAAGTTCTAACTCCGTTAATAGGTGCGTTTTAAATAAACACAAAATAATAAATTTGCGTTAATCATTTATTAAGCTAATCACTGTTTGAACAACCAGATCTAGGAACCAATTCGCTGGTTTTATATCAATTTCTGACAAGTTGAAAAAAATATTATCCTAATTATATTTGTTTTTCAGGTTGGACAGCCTTATCTATAATACTGCTTCTATCAATAATTTAACGGATAGACATGATGTCTCTTTCTATGTACATAAATAGTCCGTTCAACTTTGATGAGACTCCCACAGATCGTCCCAAGGGAGAGTATATGTTTATTAAAACGGACATAAATGTATGTAATAATCTGCAAAATTTCGTGTTAAATGGTGATCAAAGTATGTTCCCTTAATTAATCGGTTCGTCATGGGATCCCCACAAAACATCAATGGCATCAACACACAATGACGCTGCCAAACCAATGCTAAATACTTAATAGTGTACAGTATGACAAACTTAACAGATGTTGACTGAAAGTTCGAAATACTTTTTCTTCTCGCTTCCCTTTTCCAGTCGTTAATCATCAATGTTGTCCGTACGAGTAAGTCAAGTTAGGGTCAGATTGAACCGTGGAATTATTGTAATTATAATCGGAATGTATGATATTGACATTGCATTAAGCAAACAATAATTACAGGCACGCCCGGCGATACTGTAGTGAACTGCTCCTAACTATTGATTATAGAATACCCATTAAGGTAATCATTAGATATCCTTCAATTGCTTTCCACGGTGAACGTGTTGCCTTGCATACTCCAGTGGTTTCGTTCAGTTATTCAGACCAGCACATTTCATGGCGACGACAGCACTATCGTGTGGAAATATATAGTTGCTAAATAATTATGATTAAGTTAAGTTACAGTGAGCTTGAACGTGTGCAATACTCTCGAACGTAATACACCGGTAATTGCACCTTTAAAATTTGGTAAAAGATACAGTATGCAAAACAACAACATTACACTGCATCATACAGCTCTTTCGTCCTTCTCAACGCCGACCGAAAGGTTGGGGATCCAAATTGTCTAGACTACTGTTGGAACAGACGGGTAAATCCCTTTATGTAGGGATTTATAAATGTAACTCTTTAAGTTGCCCTCGGGAATATTACATGAAGTTGACGTACAGTTATTGTTGTTGTATGAAGTACACAAA